TATAAATAACCTTATTCGTAAATTGAGTGAACACAAGTTAGCATTTAGAGATTACAAATTCAATAATTATTTTTAAATTACTTTCTAATAATCGTCGCCTGATTCTTCTGTGCTAATGACCGAAATTTTGTCACCGTCAACAAGCCCTGAGCCATGTTTGTTCTGGGGAAATGTGAAACCCTGGCAGCATAGGGAGAATTCTCACAGAGAATGAGAGACATTAGGTCAGCCTCATTCAGATGTACAGTTAGAACGTAAGGACAATTTCGAACGAGTTTCTCTAAATAGAAGAGCTTGTTTTCGAGGTGGAGGTGCAAGGGACAGTTTCTGAAGCTTGATGCTCAAGCTAGACTTTGTACAAGCGCTTTCTATTGACGAACCCGTGAATGCTTCCCACCTCACTCTAGCTGCTCATCCACATCGGTCATTGGGTTGCACTCATTAAAGTATCGCATTCTTTTGGACTAAAGGTTCAATTTGAATGAAAATACTTTAATTGGGTGCGAGAGTTTCCCTGCATTAGCTTGCGCTTCCTTTACGGAAGTACTAGGCCAGTAAAAATGCTTTACTTTCTGTACAGTTTCGTTCACTCAAGTTCACTGTAATTATAAAGGCTGGAATTGCGCGCTAAATTTTCCCTTAGCCCTCAGGCACAGATGAGCTCAATACTACAACTACAAGGGCCCACGCTCCAGTACCGGCACGTTTAAACGCCCATTGAAATATTATATAGTTTTTATCTGACGAGATATACTATAGAAAAAATCACAAACAACCATCATGTTTCGACATTTATTTATCAAGTGAATGCTCCTTAGTTCTCCGAATGAAAATACTTGCTAATTTTCGATCCGCTTTCGATGTTTCGATCTATCCGCTTTTAAATACTGGTCGAGGACAGTAGGAACTCCTTAGAATGGAAAGAAAAATAAGCGGCTAGATCAATTCAGGGAACTGAATTTCGTTTAATTCAATTTATTTGCAACAATTAAGTAAAAAGTGAAGTCAAAATGCACTTCAATGCGAGTTACCTTCAATTAGCGATTAATACAGATTAAAATAATAATTGTGCGATTTTAACGATTAAATTTTCTTTTGCTACAATCAGAAATAATTATCTTCATTCACTGATTAAGTTCAATTTCTATAATTAATTAATTCTTATAATAGATTAAATGAATTTCACAGACAAAGAATGTTATCAAGCGACATACATGTCCACACATCTAGATATCGTTATTATCAAGCGTAACCTTTACGCATCAAGCTTCATTATTAGTTTTGCGAAATGATGTGTAGAGTCTCAAAACTTCAAACCTTAATATTAGTTGTTATTAGAAGTTATTGCCAATTTATTGATGGAAAATTCTTTTACCATGATATGATGATGAAAAATTCTTTTACCATGATAGATACAATAAATCAACTAAAACACTTATGAAAGTTCCTGTGACATGGCAAGATAAGATGACATTAAAGTTATGGTAATCATTAAACATGCGTTGGGACAAGTTGAGGATACATTCATTGCGATTCTTAAAATTATTGGGCATATATGTAGGTTCAATATTTTTTATCAGGTGATTACCATCCATGCAATTTTGTATAAATTTTCTCCTCATTTTCTCGAAGACAATATTTCGGATCGAATGGGAAGCAAAATCCATAATTCCCTTTTTGGTCTTGATGTGTAACGCGCTGACCATGTCAAGTGACCGAAGTGATGGAAGCAACGCTCATAAATTCGTTTAGAACTTAGAACTTTAAGATTATGTGATATGCGAGTGAAATAATTATACCGAGTTACCAATATAATGAATTTTACAAGCACACATTACAATTTTACAAGCACACATTACAACAAACATTACAACAAGCATTGTTACAGCAAGCATTTGATGAAAATCGTAACACGGTCAAAAAAGTTTGAATAGTTTGGATGCCGTAGAAAATACTAGGCGAGGCCACAGGCGTAGAAAGTGCTCCTGCTACCGCCGGAAGTAGTGTTATTGGAATAGCAACATTCATGGGAAGGATCCACCGATTATCACGAGCGATCGATGGATTTGAAGGGGAAAAATATCCTGCATGTGCTGACAGTCGACATAGGATCACTAGCTGATATACCTTGAATATTCTTAACTGACTACACTAGGTTGTCCGTCGTTTTCTTTTTTTATTAACTCATTCATTTATTCTTGACTGACTAATCACACTAGAGCACTTTTCATTGTGTCATTCATTTATGTTTAGTGCTCCTAGGCCAGAGCATTCATCTTGAATCTATAAAGTTTCAAGTTGAGTTATCCCTTGAATTGATTGAATTCAATTGATCCACACTGATCACAATACTTATATCAATTCCCCTATATCACTCTACATCGAGACAATCTAGTAGATTAGTTCTAGTAGATCGATCCCCTACATCACTTCACGTCGATCGTGGGCTCGGGCTTCCTATTCCGAAAATTGTCCAGTAATTGCCATAGTGAAACTCGGCGCCATGAGTTGATCGAGTCTTTTCACCGATCTTTTTTAGATCCCATCTGATCTTTTTCAGGCGCGATCGATCGAAACGCGGACGAGAGAAAGCTAATAGTCAACACAGGGAGGCATCGAAATTAAGGACCCTATCGATTCTTACCGGTCCTTATCGATTCTTATTTTTTTTTAAGCAAAGCTAAAATGAATTGGTATGTTCCCGCAGCGTGTGGACGATGTTTCACGTGACCGCGGGACTGACGACGCCCAAACATTGTGTCGTTTATTCAAACGTTGGCACTGGTAATATTTATAAAGCGAGCTATGATATTCAAATGTATGTAACCATAATACGAAACAATTGTGCTGGGAATATGACTGGTATTTCCAGCCGAAAGAGCGACCGTGTAAGAGATGTTTCCCACAAACAATAAATAAATTATGTTACTACGAACTCTGGAAGATAATTTTTGTTTCTGCGAAAACGTAAATTTAGGGATAATAAATTATTGGCGAAGGAATTTAAGTTCCTATGAATTAAGAGTTAAGTGATAAAACTAGGTATATTGTGCATCTAATACAAGTTTTACAAGCACAGTTCGCATTGATTTTTGTTTAATTCGGTTGCTATGACCTGATTGGTTCAAAACTCTACCAAGTACTTTAAAGGTTTCCAAATAACTGCAGTGATAGTGAAAAAATTTCTTTAATTGGTATAGCATCTATATGAATGTATATATTCTCAGAATCATATCCAGATATCCAGCATCTGACTATTTTTCAAGATTTTTTAATTGATAAATGAAATAAAATTGACCTCTTCGTTGAATAATATACATTCATAGTTATATTATAACCATATCTCTCAATCTTTTGATATCCATTAAGAAATAAAAGTATTTTTTTATCAACCTAATTATATGTTTATCAAAGTTTCTTACAAGAAGGATAAGATTTGTTTTATAGTTTGATTCATGAATGAATTTTTACAGCGAATAAATGTATGGGAAATTTTTTTAGCTTCTGCCTATATCAACCTTAGCAATGCACATTGCACGGCAGCGGAGGCACCAGTAACGATAAAACGAGTTAAACATATGTAGAAAACATTCTACTCGTATGAGAAATGTTAATAATAAATTTTCAGTTTAACAATAATACATAAACTACAAATTAAATTGTCGCGTTCTTAGATGAAATTTATTTCGAATTTGAACCAATTTTGACACACTTTTACAACAGTGACACTCGAAAGACCGCCAAGCTCACTCGCTGGTACTGTTAAAAATTGAATAGAGCTCGAATGCGGGCGATCCGCTAGCTGTTGAGCAGGCAGAGAGGAAAATTTTAACTTTGGTCATTACAATAACCTCAACTGCCATTAATTAAGTCATTATTCTGTACTATATTTAGAATAGTACTTCCGATTCTGGTGTTTCCGATACCGCTAGAAATATCATGTTAATAAATATATATTAGAAGCAGTATGGCCTATATAACAGTATGACCAAGTCATAGCCTATTTCTAAAGGCTTCTGCATTTGAAAATATTTTAAAAAGTTACTGCGTTGTGTGGGTCCGTATGCAAGGACTAAATATTTATTTATTAAAGTATTCAGTGGGAGCCTCAACACAACGTTTTAATCATAAGAAAGGTGAACTAATTTCTAAATTGTTTGCTTTAGTACCATTTAAAGTGAAGTCCCAGCTGCGAGAGTTAAAAAAAGGACTTCATTTCCTATTTTCGATTATTTTATTGCATCAGAAATAATCTTACTAAATTACATATTAGATCTTTCCGTGAATCCTTCCTTGCACTGTTTTTTAACAAACGCTTCAACAAAAGATACATTATTATTATTATTATTAAGTGCATCACATGGATTACGCTAACCAACGTAGTTGCATTTTTGGAAACTTCACATAAATGTCACTGCAAATAGAATTTACTTTATGAATATAACCGCGTGCCTCGTTTTTATAGCCAAAAACGCTAAAGAATTAACGTAGAAATGTGAAATTTTTGGTTCTTGTGACCGGATTCATTGTTAATGCGAGATTCAATGACAAGAAATAATTTTCTTTAAAAAATTGCTCAAAATCCAAGCACTTCAGGAAAGGTATATTATCACTATATGTATCCAGTATAATCCGAAGCTATGTTACATCTGCATACGATTCTTCACATACATATACGTAGTAACTGTAATATAGGTTTAATTTAGCATTTAGAACTCATATAGTAGAATGGTTTATTCACTCTTCTCATTTACTTTACAATGAATTCTATTTGGCACGAGAAATTTCGAATTTTCTCTGGGTATAATTTCAACCTCAAGCTCATTACATCGCAAAATTTCCTTTATTTTGAAACCAAATCATTCTAATTTTCCAGCAGTAAAGATGTCAAGTTTGTTGAGTTAAGGCAAAATTTGGCTCGCAAGAACTCAAGTGACAAGGGAAAGCAACGTCGGCGACTATATAAAGGCTCGTCTGCTACTCGGGTCACTCAGTCGGAACACAGCAGCGACGGTTGGTGTACGCATCATGGCTTCCTCGCACGTTCTCCTCGCAGCTCTCCTTATCATCTCGGTATGCATAAGTGTTATAAAAATAATTTTATATTACTGAGGTGAATAGGCAAGGAAATGAGACATTTTGCACTTGACTAGGACGTTTTGCAATTTTCTACGTATTTGGAGTAGAATACTATTTGAATAGTATTTTAAATTAATTACTGAAAATTTTTGCACTCACAGTACAACCATCCTACATCTAGTATTTCAAGACTATGCTGATGCAGTTTTTTAAGAGAACTCCCAAAATATTCTAATTATCAGGATTGGAGTTGTAAATGTTCCTCCCTGAATTCAGGGAAAATTTATCTTGAGTATCATCGAAAGTGTTAAATCGTTCACTGTAGGACAATGGCTCCCAATTACACGTCGTGTTTCAACGCAAACTCGTTTTCTACTTTGGCATGAAATCAGATTTGTTTTTGTTGCATTTTTTCGCCGTTCAGTGGCCGTTTATCCAGCTAGTGTGACCTATATTGCCAAACGACGGTAACGCTAGCAACTCCAACCCCCACATTACGAATAGTACAAATTCATTATAAGTTGATTGCACTCGTAGTTCATTGTACTACATAAGAAAATGATATGTAGACATAGCTTAAAATTATTTAGATAGTCCTAGTTTTGTACCAGCAATGTCAACTCTTATGATTTTCAATAAATTCAATTTTCAGATCAGAGATTACGGTTTCAGTTTACTTTCTGGTTCTTTAATAAATATAAATCTTATGAATTTGTGCTTATTGTGTTCAATGTAACTTTATGGTCGTCTTTCGTATTGTAGGATTGTAACATTATGAAATTATTTTCTTCCTGTTGAAAAATGTCCGAAAACCATTTATATTTTATATTCCTTTGGTCAAAAATGTGTGCAAAACCACCGATCAATTTTATATACTTGTTCTCCTATTGATATATTGAAGCCTCAAGAAATCAAGTATATCATATTTTAAATTCATCTATTTATATATCAAGAATCTTGCTCTAACAAGAAGTTTTGCTCTAATTATACACTTTGGACACTTTTTAGATTGTGATACATGTTCAAATCTCAAATAGCCCCGATTGTTATCCATGTATCTCGTTCATATCACAATATAGCTTTCTCTGAAACTTAACTTTTCAACCCTCCGACCATTTTCGCGTCATTATATGCACTTTACTGAGGAATACACCGCATGTTCTATAATAATATGCCTGCTTGCTGTATGTTTGACTCGCAACCGCTGCAGCGGTCGAGGCGTCCATTCCTTGGCCGGGTTTTCTCCTTGTGTCGCGGTTTCAGCGAGAGCGTGAGCGAACGAGCGATCTTTTCTTGATGTTCCCGACTCAGCGTCGGCCTGAGTTATAACTAAGGACTTAGGTCTAAGTTATAACTTAGGACATAGGCCTAAATTATAACTTACACTCCAACGTTTAGCGTCGGGTTGTCTTTTTATCGTATTTCCAACAAAACTTCCACATATGTTATATCTTTCAGCGCAACTTTCTACGTTTAGCAGTTGGTTACTCGTTCGTTAATTTCCTCATTTAACGTTGTTTAAGGACGTTCTGTTGTTTAGTGTTTTCATCCTAATATTATTATACATAATATAATTATTTTTAATTTCGAAGACCGCATTTAGATGGTCTGTCGTCCATTTTTTTCGCGTTGCTCGTCTTTGCCTACCGACTTCAGCGTCAAGTGGTCGGTAGCACTCAACCGTTTCATCTTCGAAAGTTTCGTTTCGGCAGCTGCGTTGGTTGTTTCATTGTCCGAAGTTTCTCACCGCTAGCCGCATTTGACCATCGTTCTGTCGTCAAACGTTTAGCCGCGTTGTAAGCGACGAAGTAGTTTATTATTGCAGGGAAGCCGCCGCGGGTTTTTACAGCACCGTAATTTAGGTATCAGGGAAAGCTACAGCAGCAAAAGCGCACGTAGAACGAAAGCGTTCCTTTGTAGATCACGCGTCTGTGTTTCCAACGTCTACGCGATATCGAGGAACATTTTTATTCATATTTTCCACCATTGAATTAGCTTTTTTCAACTGAGAGCCTCTGGTTTTATATTCTTTTTCTCATATTTAAATTTGAATAAACATAGCGGGTTACCATAACATTCTTCACTATTATTAAAAACAGAAAGTTGAACAATTTCTCTACCAAGAAAAATGCACTCTATCATCGACAAAAATTTTCCTCTAAAATCTTCAGAACTAAAAAAACAACAGCATTATTATCGCAAACTTTGAGAAATTACCCTCACACACAAATCATTTTCAACTTTTTCGTCATTCAATTATTTTTTCTCTAGGCCCTTTTACATATTTTTTTCAGGAATCGTCTGTCGCATCTGCGTATTACTTTATTAAATTTATTCATTTTATTAATATCTAACTATTTTGAACTCCATTCACTAATCTTCCGATGCAGTAATTCTAGAGCACCAAGACCTTTTTATGAGACAAATTTCTTCATAAAAAGCGTTAGGAATTTTGATATTTTCGAGAACACGAGATCGTTTTTTAACATGCTCTCAAAACCAAGGCATTAGTGTACACGATGCTCTTGTTAAAAAAAACTTTATTTTATAAAGCCTTTGTTGCTGTTGTCGATGAGGAGCCATTATTAGGCTGATTATCCCATGCTGAGCTGCATGTTTTTCTCAGTTGATTAATGGAGCATGAGCTTGCAGAAACTCAGTTGGGGTAACTTTATATAAACATCCTGTTATCTAGGGTCATTATAGTCTGGTTTAAACTGCATTTAATACAAATATTTTGGCTACGCGAATTGTCCATGCGCACCAAATTCATACACACGTGACTTGAAAAATGTTATAATTAAGTTAAATTGCTATTTGGTTTTAGTCAATTGTTGTCGTTAAATCTATGTTTTAATTTACCAGGAGACTTGGGGAAACAATTGTTCTAATTTTTTAGCATCTAAGCTTAATTATTGGAAGAAATTGCTACGACTTATTATGATTGAAACAATCAGACGATAATAATTATATAATCATTTTTTGAACTTTAATTGAGTTCCGTGCACCATTACTTATCCATTCAAAATTTTATTTATTATTTAATGTATCATTTATTCTCCGGAGTTCAGGTGTTGTGAGTCACAAAATGGATTTTTCTTGTTGCATATGATGTGATGTTGTGTTTATTTCCTCTCTGGTTGTTCACTCTGCGTAGAACGATGAAATGGTTATTAACATTTGGACTGTGTTTTTCAGATCATATACTGCACTAAATATTGTCTCTGGGAAATAAAAATGCATTTTGATCATGGCCTTCATTATTGAATTGATACCGTGGCATTTAAAATTCAGAATGACAGACATCATTGGAACCAGAAAACGGTTTTAATTTAAGCTTAAACTGAAATTGTGCAATAATTTGATCGAACTCGCGATGGTACTCGATTGTACCCAAATTACATGGCACTTAATAACGATGGAACTTTGACGAAATTGTAATTAGTTGATTTTTAATGGCAATGAATTTAATGATTTAAGGATTTTTTGGTAGATTTAAGTAACATGGCCTTCAAATTAAAGCAGACTTTCCAGGAAATTATCCTGCATTAACCTCAAGACACAGCTTAACTTCATTAATGATGAGTCAGCAATATTTCGAGGCGATCACCCGCCCCCATGAACACAATAGCGCGCAAAGCTTTCTCCTCGCCAGGCTTTTGTCCGGCAAAAGCTGCTTGGAGGAAAGCAATAAGAAAATTTTTATAAAGCTACTAAGGCTTGCATGAGCCTCAGTTTATGAGAGTCCCGTAAGAGGCCTAGATATATGAGGCTAGCCGCCGACTGAGGGAAAAAACTATTTTATAATTTTATATTATATCTCACTTATATGATGATTGGACAATTCTTTTGTGCTCTGTTAGATTCAAGAAAATACGATTTAACGATTTGTTATGGATGAGTATTACTATTTCTTGATACACTTGGCCTATAAATTCATACAAATGATGATTCATTTCGGTATGAATGACCGATCATACACGCTCTATTCACAGATACATGACCGATCCATTAGCAGACACGCAAATGCTCTACTTATAGATACGTAAATGAACTAATCATAGACGCGTATAAATACAATCGTGGACACACTCGTGTAACACAATCATAGGCACGTGTATGACCCACTTATCACAATATAACAATTGGGTCATTGTCACAATATGCATGAGTGACAGCCGGCGTCCCGAGTCCACCATAACGCTGGAGTTTCACCGCCACACTTCTGACGTACGCGCGGCCTGCGTTACAGCGTGCGTGACGTGCGCTAGACCGTAATTGTACGCTCCTCGTCTTACGTCGTTCGAGCGAAAATTTGCATAGGATTTCTTAGCTCAAATTACTTATTTTAATTCTTCACCCCGCAAATTTACAATAGTTTTAGTTTGCATATAAGAGCAGAAGTAGAAGTATTATTAATATTGAGAATGAAAGAAGGTCCATGAATAAAACGGTTTTCAACATCAAATAATATCAAGAACCGCAATTTCTGTGAGCAAATGCAAATAAATAAGTTTACAAGATTCTCTTTCACAAACGCCTCAACTTGGAACCTATTTAAGCTCAGAGATTGATTCGATTGTTGAAAGTTTGAAAATTTCGTGCAAAATACCAATCACTAAATTTTTTCTGCCAAAATTTTATAAATAATATAAGATTCGAGACCCATAGTTCAATAACATATAGAAGTTCCACATATAGAACAAATGAGTAACTCGTGAAAAGAAACCGAATTGTGGTCGCCAAGATTTCACTGCCATCTGACACAACAACCGTGCACCGGAAACGAGCGTTTGGTCTGACATTGCTGTCGTCGCGATCGTACATTTATCATGTATTATAGTACCGTAGCAGTATTGGCAACGGAAAAGCTACTTATTGCGATAATCTATGTACTTATCGTGCAAAACGATAAGCACATCGAATGAAACGGATATGAAAGTAATCCTGCCGACTGGAGTGCCGTACTCTTTGGTGCAGGCAGAAATATGTTCACGATTCCAGCTTACAATATCAATCATTTTATTAATTGGAAAATAGCGAAAACAGACGTTGGAGCGAACATTTTAAGGGATGGCAAAATTTTCCGTCATGAAGAAGGTTCTGATTGATCCGTCCATCATACACAATTTATTAAATAATTTTTTAAATGTTTTTGTGTCCCTATAACTATAACATATTATTTTCTCCCCAACGTTGGTCGTACTTATTTATAAATCGTTTCATTTTTTCAGGTTGCCTCCGCCGTTGCCATCCCGAACGCGTGAGTATATCAATTCAAAATAAAATGATAAATAGAAATATGTACGAAGTTTAACCTTTGCTTTTCACGGAATTGTGAAGCAAAACTATCAATTTGATAAACACAGGGAAATTTAAATGGAATTGAAAAACAACAAAATGGAATAAACAAAACAACTTGATTATTCAAAAATATAGTACAAGTATCTTATAAACTACGTCTACAAGTATAAATCTGGACGGTTTCACATAATTTGGTCCAGCTCTTGCAATATTAGATCCTATAATTTTTCGTCTATATCATTTACGAAGACTCATTCATATGCATTACACTTATTGTTAGCTCACATGGATTGTGCCATCTTTGGATAAAAAATAAGAAAATATCATATCGCCGCTGTCATGCGCCAAAACATATTCTTCGATGAGGGTTCTCATTAAAGATACCGCATCCACTTTTTTACAATTTCATGATAATTCAACCATTCATGATGCCGTCAACTTTACATCTGCTTGAATAATTTTTCAAGCTACATTATTCCGCATTAAATATAAGATTAGGAGTCTTGCTTTTTATTTCTTATTATTTACTGATATACTTTGTTCCCAGTCTTGGGTTCGAGTGCAAAGAGGAAGGCCGCTTCCCCAACCCTTCAGACTGCACGTCCTTCTTCACGTGCGTGCAGGACAACGACGGGGACTTCGTATCCTCCAAAGGATCCTGCAAAGGAAATGCCTTCGATCCTGAGCGACGAATCTGCGTTTCCCCTGAAAAAGTGAGATCATTGATTAAATTAATTTGTGTAGCCTGAAACAAATGCGATTGACTGGCGCAGTTCATGGCTATATGTCATGACCTGAGCAACAGCTTTTCTGCAATGCAGGAAAATTTTTCGTAAAATCAACAATTCTGCCCATCGAAGGCCACACTGTTAACCATAATTAGAAAAGTAACTTCTTTCTTTTTCGGGTACCTATTGACGAGGTTGAAAGATGATTTGATGCAGGAACTTATTTTAATATAGTTTTTGATTTCAGAAGAAAAATCATAAAATTAAAAATTTAACAGAAGTATATGAAAATTCTATTTAAAATGTGTACGTATCACTTACCTGTCTAAAAAGTCAACGGAAGGGTCTTACCGAATCATCGGGTAAACTTGGTTACATTCACATTGCAAGTTACGAATTAATGAGTTGAGTTGGAACTTAAACTGTGATACGAACGCAGACGAGTTCGACATCGCATCGCATCGTGTATTATAAGAGTCTGATCGTCTGTCATTGAAACACCTCTACAATTAACTTGCCTGTCAATTGCTTCAAAATGCTAAATGTAATCATTTAACGATTTGGTCGCAACAAAAATTGTATAAATTGCTTCTGAATGATACTTCTAATAATTTCCTCTGGCAAAAACCATGAACGTGGTTCTTTCCAACAAACAGAAGCAGTCCAACATGCTACAATGTTTAGCAGTGACTCGAAGAACATTTTTTTTTCGTGTAATGCCTTAAAATAACCTCTGAGTACACTACAAATTCATTAATGGCTCAATAATGTCTCTGAAAATATTCAATATAGTAGGTGCCAAGAGTTTCATCTATATGAAGATCAACGACTCGCTCGAAAGAAACATTATACAATTGTTAACAATTAAATTATTCAAGTGGCTGTCAACTACTGGAAATTTAAACTAATTTATTTGATATTTTTGAGGTGACTTTATATTTGTAGGACACCTAAATGGGTGTAGGACAATGAATTGACTCATTGATCAATTAGATCAATTGATCAAATTCGTTCATTGAATGAATTTACTGATTGATAAAGGTTGCTTCTCATTGAATTAATACCATTTGTTCGACGAGGGATATCAGTTGTTTATAAATTAAAATCAGTGACTGTCTCAATTCAATAATTATCTTGATATTGATCTAATTATTCACCACGTTAAAAAAGCGGTTGATAATAATCAATGTAGACATTAAATAATCGTGTTTAGATTGTGCGATGGTTCAGCCTCGGAATGTTCAAGCCTCGGATGATTATCTGACAATTCAGAAGATGATTTTAGTCAACTCATCAATCCGTCTAATTATTTTGTGCTTTGATGATGTCCTTCGTAAATAATCAATGCCGAGCTTATTCTTCGCAAATCTTTTCTATTTGCCTCAGTTTCAACAAATATTAGATTGAATTTCTGAAGTGTTGTAGATATTTGATGAACTTCTATAAAAAGTAATCCTCACCAAAAAAAAAAAAACGCTTTGATTGGATTAAACAGAAAAGTCTTATATGTTTGTAAATGTTAAATGTTCATGTAAATATTAAATTAATCTGTGTAGCTCTTCTGTGTGGCTGAAATTTACTAACTAATTGGCCAGCAAGATTAATGGTCGAAAAAATTTTCGAGGTTTATTTGTTTCTGCATTTGCCGGATCCTGATCCCGGATACATAAGAAGTATTTATCATGAATTATCTCAAGTCGTGAGTGGAAATGTACCTGTTTTTTTAATAACTATAATCATTTCAGGTTCCCGGGTGTTCACCCCGTGACTCAAGGCAGCTAATCTCTGATCCTCGTTACGACGCTCAATGTAACGAGGACTCGTTCATTTGCGTCGACTGCAAGACGGTCATCAACTGCGTCGGCGGCAAGGCATTCGTTGACTCCACTTGCACCTCTGGCTTCACGTGTCAGACACCAGCCCCCTTTGCAGGCCAGGCCACTTGTTACAACACCAAAACTGAGGGCAATGGGTGCCAATGCCTAGAGGCCGATCGTTTCAAGAGAGATCCGTACAATCCTAATGGATTCTATTTCTGTCCGCTAGTCGATAGTGATCCCATGGTGCACCATTGCCCTGGTGAAATGACCTTCGATGAAACCATGTCCGACTGCGCCAATGCTGATGGTATCCCAGCATGCTCGAAAAGCGGAGTTTTTTCAAACCCGTCCAACTGCACCCAGTACTACACATGTATCCAAACTTCCGCTGGTTGGGTACAGAAAACCTTTTCTTGTGAGGTAGATTTGATGTACAACGACAACACCAAGGAATGTTCAGACCCTTGCGATTGGCCAAAATTGACTTTCGATTGCACCGAAGAAGGAAGGTTTGCTGACCCAGCCAACTGTGGTAACTTCTATCTGTGTATCGCTGACCCTGCAAATGAAGGTGAATTCATCAAGTCATCAAGGCGATGTCCTTTGGATTACATTTGGGATCCTAGCGCGGCGAATGGCGCCGGCCATTGCGCTTCACCTACCGACCCTGCCACCACCAAGTGCACGCCAGTCGTCGAGAGCACCTGTGCCATCCCTGACACATGTGAAGGCAGCTCCACCTCGTCCACCGCAGGTTCTCCCTCCAACCGCTTGGCATTCCGCCGCCAAACACCGAGCACTGATTTCGTAATAGACCCCGTCCAAAACGTCATTGATATCCTGCAGGCGGCAAATGTATAATTGCAGAAATGCTTAAAGCCCGAGCTCATTTTGAGATGTGCAATCAGTGCCAAGCGTCCTCGGGCACTCAACTCGTAAAAGGCCTGTTTCGTTAAAAATTAGTTGTCATCGCTAGTAATGTTGAAGATTATTTATGTTGTTGATTTTTTAATATTTAATAAATTTGTTTCCAAAATGGCTTTTCATATCCATCGGCCAAGCATTTGTCTCTATATAGTTAGAGTGTCGCCGTAATATTCTATGAGATACCAAAAGGTTCGTAAATAAAGATAAAAATACTCGTAAATAAAGAATAGATTCATCTCTATGAAATTTTTTGGTAGTGCTTTGAATAAGATTTTCCTCTGTAGTTATAAGCGTTTTGCGTTCAATTAAGAGAATGAATAAAACTGTTTGTCTGAGCACGAAAAATGTCTCTAGATTAAATTTGAAGGAAATACGCGGACTAATTAACGCCATAACTCGAAATTAATGATGAATTAAAACTTCTACTATCAGCCATCCTTCAAACAGATTCGATGGATCCAATTCGCACTTAGTAGCCGATACTCTTATGGTTGCAAAATTTATTCCAATGCAGTCTTAGAATTTCGCCGCTATGATACTAGTTGCCGATGCATGTAAGTGTTATGCAGCTTATAAAGCGAAGTTATTGTACGCTTTACGTATATGCGCAGATGTTATTGTGCGGTTTCATTCACACAATTTGTAGCCTTTAATTATTAAGCAAATATAGAAAAATTAATATGGAATTTACTCCCGATACATGGGTAATAAAAAAAACCACACCTTAATTTTGCCCATTATTGTGGGTAAGTGCAGATGGATGCCAATAGGGGCTGAGACTCATAGGATACCAGAGAATTTATTTTGCTTGTGGCCTCAGTATGCATATGATGTGCTGTCATTTCAAGCAAAAAATCATCCCAGCACTAAAATTTAACACTGCTTGGTCAATAATCTATCCTATGTGATCAAAAACTGACCTTACATGATAACAATCATCTTCATATCATCATGTATCGTCGGCATGCATGCCGTGAATCGCCCCACCGATACACTAATGCCACTGCGTGGACGCGATAGGAAAAGCAACAAATATGTTAAGTAATCTGCCTCGTAAAACCTGTTGAATTCACGTTTATATTTTGCTTGATTCAACTGTAGATTTATTCGACTAATTAAGTCACTGTCAGGTAATAGTGTCTCCATCATGACGAAATTTAATTATGAGTCTCAATTTTATTTCCAGTGTATTTAATTTACCTCTTCGTACTCGTGCAGACTAATGACTTCATCATGTAAGGCATACTCGCAATCATTGATAATCATACTGAATACAAATTATGATAAGTGCATTAATCATAAATGAGATAAGTGCTTGAATCCAATCAAAAGAGGCCCTGCCTAAAACAAACTAAAGTGTATACACAATTGTCACCTACATCGAGCTCTCGATTTTTACTGTGCCCCGACAAGTGAGAAAATAAAAATGCCGTAACGAAATATGTGTTTATAAATGAGATAATTCTATGAACATGCAGTTATCGTCTTCTTGAAAAGTTCCATGTATAAATTTGTCATCCCTTGCTTTTTGCAATGCCGTTTTTATTGAATTTACGCCCCGAACTATCGAGTTTCTGAGATATTACTTTATTTTTATTGTGTCACAACTCACAACATACGTTTACGCGAAGTTTTTATTATGTCCCAACATTCGCTAACGCGAAGTTTTTATTCTGTCCCAAAATTCGTTTACGCGAAGTTTTTATTATGTCCCAACATACATTTACGCGAATTTCTTATTGTGTCCGAATAAAAGTCTACGCGATGTTTTTATTATGTCCCAACACACGTTTACGCAAAGTAAATTTACAATCTATCGAAAGTCATCCTCAAGTATCTCTAAGCTGTGACAAATAATTCAATATGTATTAATATGAAATTATAAAGTTTAATTAAGTGGAAGACGGGTTTCAAAAGACAATACGAGATTTACAAGGCAGTCGACACAACTCCTAAAGGCACAAACTGGTGATTTTTTGGCGGTATTTTCATCATGTTCTTAATTACTTTGAAATGCATATAAATAAATTGTAAAGAAAGTATGTAGTGAGCTTGATAAGACCTTATAAACTGCTAAATGAATTCTTCACCTGAAGAAGGTTAAGAAGACTCTACTGTCGGAAATTATTCAAATTCAATTTTAATGCCATGGTGTAAAACCCTACATCTAAACCGGACTGGCGCTAATCAACTAAATATTTGGATAAATAAATAAATAGATAATTAATACTGATAAACAAATGATCTGTACATAACGTATAGAAGCTAAGTATTTCCTACTTTGATCATATATTTTGATTAGAGCAATAGGCCATTTACTATAAAGCATTCAAATAAATGTAGTCAGGAAAATAACACCCGGAGAGTATTAAGAGAGAGAGAATACATCGGGATACATGTTATTTATTTTTGGTAAATTCTATCTTTTACATGAACATATTTTGAAAAACCACTAGGCCGTTGAAAAAATCTAATGCTATTCGGCACACTAACGCCTTATTTTGATGTTCTGTAAATTAACTCGATTGAGAAATGACTATGGTCGATGCTATATTGCCAACTTTCATTCATATCATAACTCACTGAAATGCATGGTTCTTTCTTAAACTCTCTTTTTTACCTTTTTTTTCAAAGCCATTGTAGGTCTATTTGACACGTAAAACCAAGATCTATTAATGATCAAGCTCGCTGAGCAGTTGGATGAGTGAAGATAAGGAAGGATGAGTGGAGATAGTTAAATATCGGTCTATTTTTATAGGTAATTAATATATAAACTAGAAGCCATAATGTATGACGTATAAAATAATCAGTTTATTTTGTTTCGTGCGTGAAACATGGAGTTTACAGGCACTTAATAGAAAATAAAACAAGAAAAAATCATTGTCAAAGTATTCTTCTACTAATTATGAGTATTTAGTTTGTTCTAGATCGCATCCATTCAAGTTATTGAGCAGGCCATGCTAACAATATCAGGGTACCAGTAAATTACCAGGGCAACGATCAACGGGCAAGTGTAAGTCCTGGGAGACTCCGTGGTCGCCACCGTGGTGGTTGTGGTGGTTGTTGTGGTAGGGATGGCGGCAGGTGGGGCTGGTACTGCTCGAACAGTAGGGTTGAAACGCACAACGGGTGCACGAGTAGAAGTTGTAGCTTGCGTAGTTGAAGTAGTAGGTGAAGTGGAACTACTACTACTACTAGTCAATGTTTCTGTACCTGCATAGTTCTCTGTCACAATCAGAACGTCTGAATCGATTTCAGTGTTGCCGTCAGTTGCGTTTTGATCGCTCCGGCTGTTAGAATTCATTTCGCCTAATGTAGTTAGATTAACATCATCAGTAAAAATATGCGGTGGTCGCGAAGAAATTGGAATCAGAGATTCGAAGTGGATTCCTTCACACGCATCAAATTGAGGCATATCTTCCGGCGACATGCAAACTCGTTGTACGCTACTGAACAGCTGACCATGGGGACATCTGACCAATGTTTGTTTGTAGTTTCCGCTGTGGCTGGGCCACAGACACACGTAATACCAGCGACAGTCATTAGGGTTAGGGAAGGTGCCCAAGTCATGACAGTGAGGCATTTCAGGAATAGGAGAACATTCTTCTGTGAGCGGATGTAGCTCCTCGTCTTCAAGGCAGGTTCCCATGGACATCTCGAGTGTCCCAAAACAGTTGGCAAAGGCCCGGTAGTCGTATGGGTCGGGCTTCACCGAGTCTCCAGGTACACAGCTGCATTCAGGGTTCATGGTTCTACGACAGACGCCGCCACCAAAAATCGGATCTCGATGACACGTTTCCTGCAAACAAGAAAAGGTTAGTTCATTTTCGTATATTTAAGATTGGGATATTCCCCGCTTATCTTGACATTTTTAGCACTAATTCTATTTGCGGGTATTCGGATTAATAATTATTATTTTAAAAAATCGGATCAAGCGATCTTGACCAGTCCCAGATTCCATAAGAAGATCAAAACCGAACCTTTATATAGCTAGGTTAGCATCCATTTGCCATTAGTTTCGATTAATTTCTCAAAAACAGGTATCAATGGAATCTAATGGGTAGTGGGAGTTCATTAATTGTCGTTCGGTTGTGACTGGAAAACAATGTCTGGTGTTAGGTTCAGGTCACTATAGTTTGAAAAAAATCCGTTCGCTTACACCACAGCTTACGGAAATGCGCGCGTAAGTTTGGTGACAGAGTGACATTAAGTACCATGATATGCCAGGTTAAAATTAAAAAAAATTATCTACCTTTAACAATTCATATATTCCTTTACTTAAGGGTAATAATCGCCAATCGATTCATTTCTTGTCGCCATAAAAAGTATAATAAAATAGATTATACCTATAAACCAAAATGAAATTGAGCTGTTACGTTGATTGATAGCACTGATTTGGACGAGTTTAAAATTCATTTCAAAAGAGCGTATACTCGACAGAAGGTCGCGCGACTGATTTTGGCACGTGGTATTTCTGACATAAGGTCACGGAGAGAATTGTGTTTTACTTTTCTCTGAATAATACAATCAATGTTAATGTTTGATAGATATACCTATACTCACCCAGAAATTTAAAAGCGATCCTGCGAGACCACTTTGTCGACAAGTGTAATCAAAAGAACTTTTCACCTCGGTTCCAGTTCTCACCTTAGGATAATTGCAGGCGTATAAATATGCTTCAGTACCAATACACATGACCATGGCGCCACAGGAGGCGCAGCTGTAACGCACGCTGGGGTTCAAACATTCTTTGTCATGAGCAGGGGACCTCGTGGGTGCCGAAGAAGCTGTAATGGTGGAGTAAGGGTTTGGAGTTCGGAGCAGCTGTTGAGACAAAGCTGTCTTATTAAGCGGTCTTATTGTTGTGGTCGCCCGTAATAATTCTGGTGTTCTTGGAGTCATTACAGGGTTTTGACTGGAGTTTCTCTTGAAGATTTCAGAATTTAAAAGATTTTGTTGCCTTTCGAGCTCTGCGAAATGCTGCTGATACATTAGCAGCATCAAGCGATTGTCCTGTTGTTCGTTAGTTGGTCTCAGTTTCTGGTGAGAGTTATTCAAGTAAGTCACTGCTCCCGCAGTGTAAAAGGCATTGGGATCCAAAACTGGGTTTTCTGGGGACACACCGGAGTTGGGATCGACCACGAGATTTTCTGTTAACGACTCGGAATCCTTGTGATTATCATCTTCCTGAACGTATTTCACAATGGTCGATAATTGTTCTAAGATGTCAAAATTGGGCCGAAAAGGATCATTGTAAGAATAATTACTTATTGGAATGGTTTCAGATGGAAAGCTCGAAATATTGGCAGTAGATCCTCCCATTTCATTGGAATGATTTGAATTGAACATGGTTGTGCTGTTGAATTTAATTTTGAGGTCGACGAAAGGAGATAATTTTTGATCAGGAACGTTAGGAGTGTCAGGTAGGAACATTTCAGTTCTTTCCTGAGATGTTATTAGCGATGAGACAGGAACTACAGATTCATCAGTAGCAAACTGAGGAGCTTCTACTATAAAATTATTGATTAGGTCTTCTTCAGGAAACCCGTTGTTTGCGCTAGATCCAGAGATTTCAACAGTAGGAGAAATGTCATTTTTAGTAGTGTCAACATAGTCATCAATAGCCAAAATTTCGGGAGAAGATCCGAAATCACCATCAGTTGACTGGAAATAATCTTCATCTATGATGTGGGTATCGGACGATAAATTTTGCAACAAGTGTCCGAAATTCTCTTGTAACGGAAGATAAGTAACAGGGGCCCCAATTTCAGGGTTCTCAGTGCGGGACGCTGCGTCGACAGGGGTCAAGTACATAGGATGATCAGGTCTCTCCTGCCAGACGTAATTCGATGATGTTGCAGGAAGGAATACAGAATCTACGGGAACAGGGTTGATAACAGCCCCCTCTTTGTGACTTTGTATAATATGACCAGGTTTTAACGAGGATCTTAGATTTAACGTATCTGCTGAACTTCCTGCTTGCCCACCTGCCACCACAGCTCCCATTTGCAATTTATCGCGCAGAGGTAAATGCAGCGATGACGAGGTCGAAGAAGGCTTTGCAGTGGTGATTGATTGAAAAGAAGCGGTACTACTCTTGAGTTGATTTTTCTGGGATACTGATTGCATGATTAATGCCTCAAGTTTCGACTGGCCTATTGACTCGTTCATATCTTCTCTGAATGCATTTAAATTATTGTCTGAATTCAGATACGAGAATGTAATTAACATTGGTGGTTTGAGGGTCGAGGTATACCGTAAAGTAGAATCTCTGGACGTAACAAGGTAAATTGACTCCAGGTCATCAATATCAATAAAATTATCTTCTTCCGACAACGACCCTCCATCGAAATCGTTCGAAATAGAAGCATCTCTAGTTGTCCTTTTAACTGTTGCTGGAGAAGAGATAGTATCACTTGAAAATTCGTTCATAGTAATGTCCACTTTCGGAACATCGGAATCGTGCGTTGCGGATGAATAACCTATTGGATTCGAAGAGTGAACTAGTAGTGGATTTTTCGTAGTCGTGGACCTCAAGAAGTTGTCTTTGAGGTACAGAAAAGAACTAGGCATTGTAATCATTGTTGGCTCGCTAGTAACCTTGCTCATCGTTACTTGAGGCTGGTTTTGACCGAACTCTAGTGAAGGATACTTCTCTTTAAGGTGCAAATACGACTTGGAGGTGGTGGGTGGTGGCTGGGTTGAAAAAACAACAGGAATTGAAATAATCGATGAGCCAGTCGATTGTGACAGAATGGTTGGCTTTAAAACAGAAGAGGATCCTTGCGTGATAGTTGGTGTTACTGTCGAGGACGACTCACCGGCTGTAGAGTTTATTTGAGAACTTGAATTTTGAAATGATGCAGATGCCGCTTGCGAGGATGTTGAGCCTAATTGAGATGATGCGGTGGCTGCTTGAGAGGATGTTGAGCCTAATTGAGATGATGCGGTGGCTGCTTGCGAGGATGTTGAGCCTAATTGAGATGATGCGGTGGCTGCTTGAGAGGATGTTGAGCCTAATTGAGATGATGCAGATGCCGCTTGAGAGGATGTTGAGGCTGCTTGAGAGGATGTTGAGGCTGCCTGGGAGGATGTTGAGGCTGCTTGAGAGGATGCTGAGGCTGCTTGAGAGGATGTTGAGGCTGCTTGGGTGGATGTTGAGGCTGCCTGAGGCAATGAGGAAGTTGTTTGATCAGATGTGGAGGATACAAAAGAGGATATGGAGGCTGCTTCTGAAGGCATCAAAGCTGATTGTGAGGACTGATCAACATTCTCTGATGTAGCTGGTATATTAACTGCAGTGGATATAGTCCCTGAAAGATTATTATTAGTCGAGTTACCATGAATAATTTTGTCTCCGGTATTTTGCAATGAAGAAACCAATAAAGTCATCGCTTCGTTAATGCCTTCATTGAATGTGTTAGTACCAACTTCTGTGGTGATTGAGTTAGGAGTTGTGGCCGTTGTATAATCAGCGTCATTCGTGTTATTTGGGGCTAATGTGTTAGTTATTTGACTGGCTGTTGTAGTAGCTTGCAGAGGAATTTTGCTACTGCTTTGGTTGTAGAGCAGTTCTAAAAACTGCAGTTTCAGAGGTAAGTATGAGGGGATTATGGAAGAATTTTTTATAGGAGTGGTGTTTGGTGTAAACGGAATTTCTTGTACTAAAGAACTAACGTCGCTGCTGGTGACTGAGATGGATTCTGTAATATTTGTTGGTGAAAGCGTTCCATCGGCATAACTTGATGTTACAAGCGTTTGTTCCTGAGATGTTGCAGTTGATCCGAACGACTGGGAATTTGCATTGGTATTACTCATAATAGTAATCCCATTTAAATTGTCTGCAACATTGTTTGAAGAGTTGAGTGGTAAATTCAGAACAATAGAATCCAAGGTTTGGTTTTCGGGTTTCAAAGACTCAATGATCGGAGGTTTCGCTGAGGTTGTGGTAGATGCAGCAGATTGTGAGCTTGAATGATCTGAAGGATTATTAGTTGCATCGTTAGAATTTGTGGTTATTGATCCTTCAACAGTAAGTGGCAGCTCAACTGTATCCTCAGTGCTGGATGGTACCGACGTTTCTGCTCCTACCGATGCAGTTGTGTTGAAATGTGTTGAATTAAAATTGGTAGACGTGAACTTCATTTCATTATCAGTCATCGTATGTTCACTAACAATTACCATTTCCTGCGATGACACTGAACTTTGGTTATCAGCAGCGCCTGCCATTTCAGCGTTAAGATTATCTCCGCTTGACGCTGTAGTTTCATCTATCGAGCTCCCAATTTGTTCGAAGGTGTCCTGTCCTATAACATTCGTCGTGTTTATTGATGTCACGTCTATTCCATCATGATTATCGGTATCGGAATCACCAGATATTAAATCATTTGAAGCATTGGAATTACTGACGTTGGTTTTTGGATCACCACTAGAGGGTGAATTTAAATCATTGGGCGCTAGCACAGCGACCTCGGTTACAGAATCTGGAGAAAGGGTGTGCTCAGTGGAGGTCAGAGAATCTTCGTCGGATGTATCCGTCGCCGATATTTGTGACTCGGATTCTTCTGTTAAAATAGTCTCAAGAGTTTGGGGAACCACCGTAACATTTTTGTCCACTGATAACGAGGATTGCGTGCTTTCTGGATCAACAACATCAGATTGGTTAACAATGAGTGTATTGTATATGCCGTCCGCACCAGCAAATTCGGAAGTTGATGGAAAAAGCTCTTGAGAATTGGAGGTCGCTTGTAAATTTGCCCCAGAAGAATTGAACTTTTCTTTTGTTTCCCCAATTACTGGTCTACCTGTATTCGTTTGGTTTCTGAACTTTTCTTTCAGCTGTAAAAGTGAGCCTGATATCAATGGAACACTGAGGCTTGGAACGTAACTTTCTTCTGGGTTGGCTTCCTCCGATTCCATAACTTGATTTTGAAGAGACTGTTTGTGTTTTTCTTTGAGAAGAAGATAAGAAGCTTGTGCAGGTGTTGGGAATGAGTTTGTTTCGTTATTCGTTTTGAGATGCGAAATAGTTACGTTATTGTCTTCCAAAGACTCTGTTTGGTTCAAAGTTCTGTTTTGTCCGTCTGAATCAGCGCCGCCTGTCTTTGAATAATTTAAATCTGTTGTGACGATAGGACCTTCATCTCGAGCGCCCGTCATGAGAGATGACATGATATCGTCAACAGAGGCTTGTTCAAGAGCGGACTCATGGCTGTCTTTGAGAAATAAGTGCGAATGAGAAATTATTTCATGTTCGTCTGAGTGTGGCGGTATGAAGAACGGGAAAGAGTTCATTTCATCCTGAGATTCTGCAGCATGCGCATCAGGAAAGTTCGAGTGGGAATTGGAGGTTAAACTTCCGCGGAAAATTCGAGTGTCATCACTCGCGTTTTCACCAAAATTAAATTTTGAGTGTGGCTTCGAGGTTCTGCTAATTTGCGCGTCGCTGTTGGTTTGGAACTTCGATCCCGACGGTTTTGCAGCCGACAGCTTTTCAAGAAGCTTAATATTTGTAATGGGCTTATAAGTTAATGGTGACCTTGGATTGTATCCATTTGGCAATTCGGTGCTGGTCGTTGACATGGAAAAAGAATTCGGAAATTTTCTGGGAGTTGTTGAGCCTAGTGAATATGAGGACGAAGCTGGTCCCTTAGGCCAAGCAAACGTCGAAGAGATCGATGAAAGGAAGTGATCGATGTCTGAGTTTTGGTCTCTCCCGGTGACTGGGGGCAGATCTATGGTTGGGCTGTTAAAGCCGGGAACTTTGTTGTAGCCTCTGCTGCTAATGCGACCCATTTTCCTGTCAAATAAAAAAACAGTTTTTAAAATAGCTGAATTGTTAGTGGGTAGTTTTTTAAATAGTTACATGGGCAACTACACGATCCATTATATATGCTAGATTGCTAGGAATCGTCGGCCTATTAGTGCATGATATAGATTAAATATAAAACTCTCGCCATATGGATGACTGTACCGTGGATATATGATAGAGATTTAAGATGAATTTCCCGTCATATGAATGATAGGACCGTTAGTATAAGATATATATTTAAGGTTAAAATCTGGTCATAAGTATGACGTTAGCGCAGGTAATCGTACGCGTGGGAGGGTAACGACAATTGCGGTACATAATTGTGATTAAAAGAGCATACGATGGCGACCACACGACATCCTGCGAGCGATCCCAGTGAAAATTACAGACGCGGCAGCTTCTGGGCCTATACTTTCAAAATAAGTTAAGATATCGTAAGTTCATCAGCCAATAATTGACGGCCTTTCAAGCAAAATCTACCAATCATAGACAAGAAAATAGGGCGTAAGTACTTACGTTCTGATTTGGATTACCAGAAGCTGGGGCGACTCTAAATTTTGTTACCCAGTGAAAATTTACAGTCGCGGCAGCTTCTGATTTGGATTACCAGAAGCTGGGGCGACTCTAAATTTTGTCAGGGATGCTCCTAATTAAAGACGGCCTAGCACGGAGCTGGAAGATTCATTTCTGCCGACACTTTTGTTCTCTAGAAATCTAGTGCACTCGTGGTGTTCACTCCCTCGCATGCATATGTCACTCACTAATATTGCTAATATTATCTACTATTGTATATTAATGCGTCGAAATTGAATTTTTAATATTATTTCTTACTACATTTTTTCTATCTTTCGCCTTTTGCTAACAGCTGTGTGATGTGGGTAAATCATGCATTATTGTGCCTATTTATTATCGGTTAAATGAACCTAGATTTTAGTCTTGGAATACTATTAGTCTTATAACAAAATTGGCTCCTGCATAATGACTTAGCTATATAATACTAACTGTATAAACCCAGGCACAAGACGATATAAAGAAGATTAGTGTTGTGTCAGTTAAGCACTGGCCCGTTAAGGCTTTAACCATTCATTGGCAACGCTTTCGTCCCATTCGTTACTTCCAAATGGAAATTCTACGTCTAAATCTGCCGTCTCAGCCTCGTGTAATTAAGTTAATAATTTGACATTATCGCAACCATTGTTATCTTAGTGGAACATAAAAAAATCTAAGTTCTACAAATCATCGTTGACGCTCTCCTCTTCTACATACAAGCATCGGTATTTAATACTTAAACACAAAAATTGATTAATTTACTACCGTGGCAATAATTACCACACAATCAGTGTGTAGATGTTGCAAACTAACTGTTGTTGAAACATATCTGTGTTTTCGTACTTCATAAGCCCTCTGTGCATACAGTATCTCCTGCGAACCGCACGCTGCTGCATATACCACGGTCAGTACGTTATAGTATAAACTTGATATATACAGCAGTCCCTATATACAATACATACTTAGTGTATACTGCAGTCCATATATGCACTATATATACTTCACGCTGCCGTATATTTGATACACTTCGTAAGTGCACGCTCACCTGTATCGCGGCGAACCTCTCCATTGAGATGCCTGCAAAAAAATCGAAATCTTGAGAACTTATATAAATATTAGCAAACTATCGCTTGTTATTAAGACATTGTTAGGAAGTGAAGTGATAAGAAAACTAATATATCTGAAGGTTCTTAGTGTCTTTTTATACAATTTTTTCTCATCGTAAAATTGATTGTAATCCGTAACATTCAAAATAGTTGTTTTAGAATTATTGATTGAACCTAAACCCTGAATAGGTATCTCAAGAAAGGTTAATTTAAATTCTTACTGATATCCGTGAATTTTTTTGAATAAAATATTCATTCAATAGTAAACCGCAATTTTATAAATTTTAATGAAAAATCTTTAAATAAAAATATGGCTTGAATGAGCATTGACTTGAAAGAAAATAGCTAAAAATTTCATCATTTAATTAATGCCATAAATACTAATACCGATTACATGTTGTTATTATAAATCAAGTCTAGTTTTCAACGCAATACTTCTTTTGTATTCAGTTTCTATGGTTGTGATAACGTAAAAATCCATAAGTTTTCCATAACTTTGGCGTCTGAGAATTCACCAAAAAATGACCAAATTATGTATCTACAAAAATGTAACGGAATCGAAAAAGGCATCAATGTAAAGAAATAAAGAAAGAGTTACTATGAAATTGCGACATAAATAAACAAAAATGTAAAATTCTATGTGACGGAATAATTATTGAGCCGAACGACTTGTAGTAACGAAATGACCGAAAATATTCTAGATAAAGGAATGAACGCAAATGTACGACCCAACCTATGAGAATGAATTAAGAACGAATGAATTTATAACGGAATAAAGGAAAATTTACATGCATCCATAGCAAAACCCCTGTAATGATTGTCCAAGAATTGCGTTCAAATGCTCGTCCAATCGGCAGGACCGCGAGCGACCGGCCAAATCGAGGTTAATTTCCAGCGAGCGTCGCTGCGCTGCGTCGTTACGGTGAGGCTGGAGCCGTCAACTGCAGATGTTATGCCGTAACCGCAGCTCTTATTTTCTTACAGCAGCTATAAATATTATTACAGCAGCAGATGCTTTACTGTTATAATAGAAGTCAAATTATGATAACAGTCCAATATAAGCGCCACATTCATCCAGCAGCCGCGTTCAACTTCGCACGATGTCAACCGCATTGCACATCGTCAGGATGGCCGCAGCACGGCTCCTCAGGTAGCGGCCAAGGAAGGCTCGGAATTCAGGTCGAGTATGAAGACGGCAATCAATTCTTTATGACTGATTATTCGACTATTATATGCCGGCATTTCGATGGCCACAGAACGGCCAAAGAAACAAAGGCCTCTTATAACCCTGCCATAATATTCAACTGTGTTCTCGAACGAGGCTTAATTTCGATAGAATGGTTCATCCACACATTCAGAGCGAGCGACAAATAATATTTTTGGCCGCACGTATATTTACATTGGATGCTCTTTCCGCGGTGCAAATATATCCCCAAAACCCTCATATATCCCAAATATACTGTATCTTTAGAAAAATATATCCCATATATTTTGTAGTTATCGACCGCGCTTAATATTGCTTTTGGATTTATTTCTCTTTCGTTTGGATATCTTATCTTCAAATATTAAAAATGCCTACAGAAGAAAAACGTGTGTTTCATAAATGAAAATTGACGAGCCTTTTATTTCATGAAATACAAATATGTTTCATTTGAAAAAATACACATTAATGCCATGAATTGCGGAATCAGACGAGTACCAGTGGGCAAAGTGGAGATTGAATACTGGGACCATTTCCGTGAATTTTCTGAACTTGAAATTAGATTGATTAGACTAACTTCGACCTTTAAATTCCGGTACTAAATTTCTTACCACAATAAAGGTCAATCAACAACAAGAGTTCTATATGTTAATGTTTTAACCGTTATAGCATTTTTACAATCTAAATTAAAATTACATTCTAGAAGCAATTATATCTAAAAGCGGAATTGCTGCCCTCCTATACGTTCAATCATTAACAGCTTTTCCCTCACTTAAAATTCAGACGCATCTCGATCATTAGCTTAGCACAAAAATATAGCCGAAAAATTATTCGATGTTGGTTGCAAATTAGCAAGTAATATTTATTATTTTGGGTACGAAGTTGGGGTGTTTAATTTTAAAGATTATGAGTTAATAATTACTTTATAACCTGAATAATTTATACATTTTTTATGATCATTCAACTGGGAATAGCTGAGCGGATCGAACGGCAGTTAAAGTATTGAAGATAATAGACGAAAGTCTGCGGTCAGCGGAAATATTGTTACAGGGAACCTCAAATGTACAAATTCTAAACATTATGGAAGTTGATGTAGAAATGCCACCTCGGTTAAAGCCATAAAGTATTTCACTCGTTCTTCGTTAACAAACAAAAATATATAGTTGAAATATCGTTTTATTCATGATTATCATACCTACCTGCATTTTTGCTTCAAACGTAATAGTTATTTTCAGATAACGCCTCAATTAAAAGTTGTCGCAACCATTAAATTTTTTCACTCAGTTAATAAAGATTACACCCAAGGCAAATCAGCAGCAAAACGTTAACTGGATTAGGGTGAATGGCTTCGACTGGTAACATTTCAACCCGAAATTTTTTGGCTTTAAACCTGTTCGGCTTGATGCTCGACTCAGGCGCGACCAGTTACAAGGCGTAAAAAGTGACGAGGGTTCGACGCACGCTCAGCGGCCTTCTTGGCTCAATCATCCATGGCGTAAAAAGATGGACCGTTAAAAAATGACTTTAGTGAAATATTATTTTCTGTTATTATGCATGTTCTTTCTAAAGGGTCCTGTACGTTCTAAAAGTTTATTACGCATGTTCTAAAATTTTACGCATGTTCTATTATTACGCATGTTCTAAAAGTTTAACTCGAGATTGGTCATCTTAATTTGAGGTCAATTGGGTCGGAGACTGAAACCAGATGAACAATCAGCAAGTTGCAATTCATCTAATAAATTATTAATGCTCCTGGACTTTTGACTTCTACTGATTTGACAAAATTGAGTTTTAATTAATATCATCATTGAGTTTTTTAATTCATTTGAGTTTTTCAATAACTAGAATAGCCTGAAACCTCACGCTAGCAAGGTAAAAGATAATCGTGGACACGGAATTCTTATACACAAACTACAGCCTCATCGTCTCTATAACTCGAGCGTCCTAAATTTTATACACAATTGCAGTTAAATTATCTACGAAGAGAAATGATCGTCAGAATTACAGTGAAGCGCAACCCAAATCTTACCTCAGCGCCGACCACATTGAAGCAAACGAGGACAATTGCTGAAAAAGCTGCTACAGACGCGTTGTTTCTCCACATCGCGATCATTTTCCAATGATTTCACGTCCATCAAGCTGCATCATCCTTCAATCTCGCATGGTTTCTCCCATCAAGCTCAGTCCTACTTGCTTGATTGCTTTTTAATTTCCAATATCAATGTTAGCTTGAGTTCTCAACGTAATTATCTACACTGATGATCAAGTGTCAGGTTTCTTTTCTAGGTCTCTCCCGTAATTTCCAATATATAGATCAATTCTTGATATTTTCTCCCAACAGTGAACTAGTTTCAGTTATTTATTATTAGTTTCTATCACAATGTCGATATGAGACTGCGCTTCATGAGAAAATTTTTCTGTGCTGATCGAGTATAACTTCTTTGTTTTGGCATCTAGCGCGATGTCGAATTCAGGAAGCGAATCACGTGTAATTTTTCACAATAATTACTGTTTTGATATTTCGCTCCATCCGGTGTGCACTTTCTTGAGTTCCTGGAGGAAAGTATCAGGCTTTTCTATCCGTTAACTTTCCAAAACACATCAATTTTTTTCACTCAGTTATCAACCTAGAAAATATACCTGCTCAAACGTTCAATGACAATCAGTAGTAAATTTAATAAACTTTGAAGAACATCTAATGAAATGGGCTAAAAGATATTGCGAAATTTGTAAGTTAGAATATCCCAACGTCGTAATCGCTGCAAAACACAAATTCGTATTGAATAATGCTTCATGAACATTGTGCATTACTATGTAAATTGTCTTCTAAATGAGCGACTTATCTCTATTACATTAAATATGTTCTCCACTGGTTAAATTGGAATCAAAACAATGGCTGTGCTGCAAAATAGGTTCCATCTTATAAAACTGTTTGTCAAAATAAATATAATCTAATAACTCTTCACCAAACAAACATAACTGGAGTTGCGGACCGAATAAAACGTATCGTTCGTCTGTCCGGTCGAGCGACCTGAGGTTGTGATCAGGTTGAAGACCGACATGGACACCACTGACGCCTCGGGGGAGCGAACCTCACGTCGAGTCAAAGTTTACTGTGTCGAAACTTTCGAGCTATCCAACTTCCTTCACGTCGGGTAGAAAGTGTCAAAGAAATATATCCTCCAGCTGTTAGTAATTAGAGAATATATGACGACCCGATGATAACTTAACTAATTATTTCAATCAATGTCTCGTGGGGCCCGTTTCGATGGCAAGCTTCATTATTAAACGCAGTTGATGTTAATTCGTCTATAATATTTCACTTAGAATAAGAAATCATTGACAGCGCAATAATGATGCATCAGTAAAACTTCTGTCACTCATGTAAATTCTCAAAAAATTCATATCGGTTTAAGAGAAACTCTCCCCCGTAAACATTTTTTGCAACTTTTAGATTTTGCTGATAAATACCTTTTATTCAGAGTCTTTCTTCGCAACCAATAATGTTATAAGTCAAATATCAAAGTAAAATTAATTTATGCTTGTAAAATCAACTGTAAACATAAATGGGCTTAGAACTTTCGTTTCCCCATTACAATCGTCAGTCCAACAAAATTATTAGAAGAATTATAGTCCAGCCAGCGGCGTAAGTTCACAGAGAATGATATCTACGATATAGCTTACGTGAATGCTCGGAAAATAACCGCCTAAGTTCTAGCAATCGTCTAAAGATTGCAATGAATTAAATCTTAGGTATAACCTACCAAAATATGTAGGAAATAACCGACTAAGTTCTCGTAAGCGACCCAAGCACGTGTCGACTCATGACCTAGCACGAGAATTTACCGTTTCCATTCACTACGACAATAACGTGTAATAATTTCCATCAGTTCTTAGAGGCCCATTCAGTGCATGCGAAAAAAGTTTAGTAAATGCGATGTCATAGCAAATTATTTTAGGAACTTCTATGAATGTTGATAAGTTAAAGAATGGATCAGATAAAAGTCGGACTAAGCCTATCCGAAAATATGTCGCACTGGCAGCGAGCGTATAGTCACACATAGGGATGAGTAGTGCACTAGCATCGAGCTAGTGTACGTATCATGCGTGACACACTTGACACACAGAGTAGGTCAGCGTATAAGTGAGTCATACGTGACACACTTGACACACAGAGTAGGTCAGCGTGTAAGTGAGTCATACGTGACACACTTGACACACAGAGTATGGGAGCGTATAAGTTAGTCATACGTGACGCACTTGACACACAGAGTAGGTCAGCGTATAAGTGAGTCATACGTGACGCACTTGACACACAGAGTAGGTCAGCGTATAAGTGAGTCATACGTGACGCACTTGACACATAGAGTAGGTCAGCGTACAAGCGGTATACGCAATTCTGAAGCACCCGTGCAGAGCTGTTATTACCGCACTGGCCAAGCCAACTAAACGCTAGCTCAACTTTCTTCAGCTGCGAGGCTCCATGGCATGAAAGCAAAACAATAAAACACTAAATTTTGGTGCACATGCCATGAAGTTCTGGAGTCTTGCGGCGAGCCATGCGCAGCATGTAGTAGACCAATTATGCAAAATACGACATCTGGAATAGGCAAACGAAAATGCTTCACAACGTCAACAAAACTTAAATTCATAGAAACTTTCTATTTATTAGAGTATTAAAATTTATTTAGGAAATATTCCCCAGTTTTATATAATATTCATCGTGTCAAAGTAATAAAAATTTGGAGTTTTCGCAGCGCGCTAATTGCCGCTTTTGAAGCGCCTGTAGTGACCGCGCGCACTGACAGGAAACTTTCGTCGGGGCATGCAAGACTTTCTGGCGGCTACACAGAATTGTTTCCGGTAATGCTTCCCGCTTTCTCTTTTTGAAAAGTTAGAGAGTTTTTTTATGGCCGTCAGATGCTGACTGCCAAAAACATTGTTGTTAGCGTGTTTTTTATAATGTTCTTTATCATAATTTTTCACACCGCAAACTTTCAGCGGCTGAAAAACTTCGCGAGCACCTAATACCCAGTGTAATCAAAATACAAATATTCCATTATTCAGAGTATTATTATGTTATTACAATTTTAAACTATCTGAAGAAACTATAACCTTTTTTCCGGCACTGCATGTCGAACTAGCCATGACAATCCTTGATAAAATAAGTTCAACTTGAAAATGTTTTTAATCACTCGCTGCACACTTGAACTTTATGTAAATGTTATTTTCGGCACTAATACAGCAATCGTACATACCTGGAATCAAAAATACAGGAACAAATGTAAGGTGCTCATTAGCCGATTTAATAATAAGTAGGAGAAAAAATGTTCATGACCAAGTTTCGCATCTTCGTCAAGATATTATCTCTTAAGTTCGCTCAAACTTCGATCAGGTCTATAGTTTGGAACAGTAAAAACCTCGTCTATTGTGTCCAACCGTTAACAAATTGGTAATTTATTATTATTCAGTTACAATAAATGACCCTCGAAACGGTATAATTTACTTAATACGATTTTGATTAATTTTTCTTTAAATTTAACAGTGCAAGATCTGCCTGGGTTCACGGCGTATGTTTCTCTGGATACAAAGATATTTTGGTGCACAGAACAGATGACGACAGCAACAAGCAGGCCTTTAAACTCGTTAATTACTTGCGTGAAGCAAGAATTTGTGATAAGCATAAAACTTATTATGCAAATAAAAGTTTTTGAGAAGACAAATCGACGGTTCCATGCAGATGATCAAGGCTGCACTAGTCGCTTGTTATGTGCAACTGCACTGAATTCATCCACCTCCACTGAAACCCGTGGGATATTGAACGTTACCAGTGACCTTTCCGTAATGCTGGTTATAATTAACATCATTTAGATGCAATGAGATAATTTGCTTGCTTAGAGATGAACTTACAAAGATTTTGATTATGACTAATAGGAATTTTCAGAGCGTTTTCTTTGCGTTTGCCTGGATGGTTGTAATATAGTTTGTAAAATCTAATGGCCACTTACGAGTCATTCACTTTCGTATGAATGGCCACTTTCACGAATTTTTGGTGAATATCCGTCCACCCTGTATTTCATTTTCTGAACTACAGGGTGGACGTCGTCATCCATTACAATTATTTGATAAGCTTAGAATTATTGTTATTTTGAACATTTTAACGTGCGATTGTTATTGTCAATCAACAACACTGGCTAAGTTGTTCAACGAGTCCATTGCGTCAATGGGAGCCATATTATACTGACGGCTGACCATATCACGTACATCAGCCAGGTACAAGCTGTCTAAGATTCCTAATTGGGACAAACCTGGCAGTGATTAGGTCCTGAGACAGACCCGCGTGTCAATTAACACAAGACTTTCTTCTCGCACGGAGTTGGGAGCTGCAGCCGACAGGCGGCGGAGCAGACCATTGTTTAGAGGCATAACACACTAACTTGTTGCGGACCGCTTTCTCTCTCTCACGTGCTTCCTTCCTGTATCTCTCTTCGGTCATTTATGTCATTTTTTTATATGTGCATTACAGCGTAACATTTTCTTATCAGTACCTATATTTCTACAGTTGAGGGTTTTATTTTTGTTTTATCTTTATTTCTTTATATCATTATCTTTAATTCTTATCAATATATTACCTTCATAGAGGGTTTTATTTTTTCCTTAAAAAAATACATAATTTCTCTGGTTTTGCGAACAAAATTCATTCCATATTTTGTAATGAAATGTATCCATATTTTTCTTTCTATCGTCAATCAATAAATTTGATAATCGAGACTAAATTTATTATGATGAGTACTGACATGAACATAAACATTCTATTTATCAAATCTATATTATATATAAATATCTTAACAATACCATTTTGGCTGCTAAAAAATAATCGGTTTCGATAAGTCGATACTTATTTACTTTCTAGCTTTAATCGTAGAAAATTAAAACTACTCAATTGAAATTATCATCTATATATAAAACATATATAAGTTAGATCTCCAAATGTACATGTGACAGCAAGGTCCATGTTACAGACAGTGCATTCATTGCATTCAAATTCAGTGCATGAGGAGAGCATTCATTTCATATGTCGAATTCATTGCACTCGACGAATAAATTAAACCGACGGAGAACACATGCTTGTATTGTATGTCTGAATTATTCTACAGAGATCCAACGCCTAATTAACTTGAAGAATGCTGGCGTGGATCATAAACCGAGTTTATTGTCAAGTAAAACAGGGCCGTCGCAGAACCCAAACTTTCTTCTAAGGTGTAAACAATGGAAGATATTTTCCCTTGGAACGTATAATGTACGTAGTGTTCATTGTAACGCAAATTTCAGAACTTCCTACTAAAGTGAGAATCATTTTCAATGTGGAAGAGAATTTTAGACAAAAATGATTATGGAGTGGACAATGAAATTATTTGTGAAAATTAAATTTGATATGTGAAGAGCTTACTAAATTATATCGAAAATTTTCCGCATAAGTATGCAGGCACAAGTACTGAAGAATGATTTATAATGTTGAAAAAATACCTAACCAATGATTTATATGAAATTAATAATTTTTCAAGCACAGCGGTAAAAACCAGATATTATGTCTCAAAAGTGCACAACTAGAGCGACAGAATACCTGAAAAAAAAAATATTTTTTTTCAAGTTGCACAAATTTTTTGAAACTGAATGGAAAATTACTTGGCATACGTTTTTCCAGATAAATAACTGCCATTATTCACTTAATTAAGAACAATCTACTCACCTACAGAAAAACCTTTGCAAATTATTCTTTCTACTAAAATGTCTAATTTTCTCGTTTTTACTATCAATAAAACTCAAGTTCACGACTTCGCGGTCACAACTCAACCTGCGCTCCATAGGCTGTGCGGTGGCCGCTATTAGGCCGCTAACCCATGCTAGGTCTTCAGGTCAGGTCTGAAATAATTGAAGCCTTGCGATCCCGAAGATTTCAAACGGTTCTGGTCAATTACTGATGCATGGAAATTACGATTTTAAATCATGAGAGCACATAGAAGTCTTCGTATCATCACAGAAACATGGCCCCAAATTTATAACTTTTGTAACGGATGGAATAAATATTTTAAACGCATCACAAATCGAATGAAGATGTCTTAACTAATTAATAATAATCGTCAGAAAAACGGTGCAAGTTCAAAGTATTGTCTCATATTAGCATAGTAATCGGTCGCAGTTTCGTGCATATGATGCTGCAGGTCACATACACTCATTATATATATATCATGTATATATCTACTTTTTGTATAGTCATTTTTGGCCATATACAGAAATATTACGATAGGTACACAGTGTCTACTCTATACTGACTTTTATTACTTTTACAATCCAGTTGTTTAATGTGTATAATGAACACGTATAAAATTTATTGGATCGTAGAGACTTAACTATGTTTCTCATCACCACCAATATGCTCCTGCATTCCCAACGCTTAACCAATCCTTACTTAGCTTCCTTGCAAGATGTGTAGCGTCAGTAACTAACGTTCACGATCAGACGAGAATTAAAGTTGAATTGATCTTTGAATCATTGCGTGGCTGCATGCATCCAGGCTAGCCAACTCAAACCATTCCAAACTCGGTCACTGCCTAATCATTGGCCGAGTTTGACTATCGCCTACACGGGCCACACAATTGAGGGTAAAGTCGTTGTCTTACGACTCCTGTGTTTTGGAGCAGAACCACAGAATATACTGATATCATCAATACGACCCACACAGGTTTAATTTGTTATTACTAATTCGACCCACACAGCCAGTGTTGTTTCATCACTAATACTACCTGCACATCCAGTGTCCTGCCACCACTAGTAAGACCTACTCACTATGCACCACCGCAGTGTCTCGTCACTACAACCACAGTCAATAAGGCCTCATGGATGCAGCTAAGTCGTCAGCACAAGTTAGGTTACACGGTCACCGACTACAGTTCCCGGCTTCGTAGAGCCATGCTACGTCCGCGTCACGCGTGCGCGACGCTCGCAACTCGAGTGCCGGTAGTAGAGCCTCTAGCAGGCGGCACGGCGACCGAAACAATCATCGACAGGGAGCTCGACCAGCTGTGTGGTTGCTAATGATTATATATCATCTTGACCTGGTGATCATTTCGCCTGCTCTCCCCTACGTTTCAGAATTGGCTAACAGCTGCTTGCTCTCGTCAATGCTGAATTCTTTCTGCTGATTGATTAAAGTTCACAACAATGTTGTAATGATAATTTGATTACTCACTCTCGCTACGGATGTGAAATTGATTATTTATGTTCTCACCAGCGTATAATAATTATATGGTAATAGACCGTTCTCTACTGCCTATGGAACCGTTAGTCGATTGGTAAAAGCTTGTGGTTTCTTGCTTCGACATGAGTAAATCTGCTACATTGGTGGCGGGTCACGAGCAGACTTCTCACCATCCTGTGAACAATAACCAGTTCTTCAAAAGTCTATAAGATAAGCGTTAGCGGAGTATTGTTGCGCTTATACAATCCTTATCTATTTATTAGTGTCCATTCGATTGAGAAATTAAATTGATATTATGACCAATAATAGCAATTATTTGTCATAATACCGTAGCCCTCATTTTTTTACTTAAAAAGTTTATAGCAAATTAATAACAAAGCTTAGCACAAATGCACCCTCTCGACTTTTCTCTGCACCCACGATCAACGGTTCTCTGCACCCATGCCCCAAGCGCAAAATGAATAGGTAGTTCGTCCTGTAAATTTCGTAGCTACCTGTCCGATGAGTGAGGTTTACAAAATGTTGCGTTCCAGCTGTTCCTTAAAATTATGAAATATTAAGAGAACATAATTTCATTGTTTAAAGACGACAACGTGGTTTCCACGGATCAACACATTATACCCTTGTGTTTTTGTGAAACATTTGAGATTTGTATTCCATAAGCACACGCTCTAGAGTAAATGTAAAATTATCACTGTAATAAATGTATGCATTATTACGGAACACATAATAAAAATCATTAGTAATGTATCGTGAAACATTATAAAAAAATCTCTGCTGTCAGCTTTTAACTGAAAATTTTTTAATCGGCTGGATATTTTTTAACACTATTATCAATTAACGTAATTTATCATTCTAGTACAGAATAAAATTGACTGTAGAGAAAATGTATGGAGATTTTTCAAATGGTTGATATGCAATGCATCATGCAAATTTAAGTAATTTGATTGAATATGTAATACAACTGGAAATCAGAAGTTACACACTTAAAAAATATAACTCAGTACTCACTGCAATGAGTGACAGAGAGCGCATTTTCTCGTCGACGAAAACTTGAGGTCACGGACGGACGGACAGACGGACATGGCGAGCACAATAGTGCATTTTTTCCATAAATGAGAAAATGCGCTAAAAAGACCACCAGCCGTCAGACACATACAAATCAACAATAAATTGGACCTGAGTTATCAACGTACGTAATAAATTTGAAACTTAACATTTTCATCAGATTTAAATACTTTGCAAAGGGTTGAACTTAAAGTCTATAGCGCTTCCATGTTTATATATATTTCCTAGAAAATTAGCAGAAATAAGTTATAAATCAATGTTTCATGTTGCGTGCTGTGTCATAGAATATTGATAGCAGTTTTACTGCTCAAAGCAATATTTTCTCCAACATGGAGAAAACAATAAACAATTTTCAATGATAACGCATATCAAATTTTAATGTTTGCTTCATAGAAGTCTGGTCATCTGCCATCGATTCCGCAAAATTGAAATTGAAACGCTTCCATGATTGAGACCCGTCCGATTTATCTTCGTGGTTCACTTGCTGGTTTTTCAAAATTCCGAGAAGAGTATTAGCCTATTACTTATTAGGTAGGTAGAGGATACAACTCTCCTGCTGTCGTTCTTCCATTTTCAGAATGCAGGTAAGTAAAGAATTTGTGTACTCGAATATTTTGTTGATTTTATATGTTCTGATAATAATGTTCACTGAGTGTTCAGATACCTAACCTTGGAAAGTTGGAATTGGAGTCATTCCTAGTACCTAAACAAGCCAACCTTAACGTTGCATAGAAGATCGCACTGTCGCACATAGTTGCAGACACGTCAAAGCGGTCAGACTGCATTAACTCTTGTTCAACTTACAGTAAGGACAAATGTTGCTGTTTGATGTGTTGCTGTTTGACTGTTCTAGGGAAGAATTAAAGATTTGGGTAGGCACATCCCGCACATGCATGGACTTTGTAAATAAATTTGTGCCTCATAAATGGCTTTTCACGAATGAGATATGGAATACACAGATGAGATATGGAATTCACGGATGAGATATGGAATTCACAGGTGACAGCTCAAAACAACGGAATCAAAGCTCAAAGAAATGGAATCCTGGCTGACAAATCCATAAAAGCAGGACTCAAAAATTCAGTCACTGCTGGCCAAATAGATATATTCCATGCCTGTACTAAGTTTCAGACTCTCAGATTGTTAGGCAGATTGCAGATCCCACTCAGGTTGTTACTGTTAGCCTTTGGGCCTGTACGCAGGTTGTTAGGCAATCCTTTTAATTGCACTTGAAAGCTTTTTAAATAATTAACTCAAGTCTTTAACACTTTGACTGCGACGTGTGCCATATATGGCAAGCATTGAAAACATCTGCCTTTAGAGCCGCAACTAGAGGTTTCCCCAGGTCTCATACAGATACAGTGGCAATAGTCGTTGGAATTTCAACGACTTTTGCTAAAGTTATCGACCAATTTTTTTACTTTACAACGACTTTCAAGCTAAAATAATCGGTCATTTATTTTATTTTTTTCAACGACTGCCAACTAATGGGACTCTTCCACAATAAACATATGACGACTGCCAACAAGCGTCTTAGCGATACGACTGCGGTACTGACAAGATACGACTGCGGTACTGACTAAAACCCGGACCCCAACAGCGCATTACGAGCGGCGGATGTAAAATGTTCAGCCCCGGGACAACGCAACCATCATATGTATTGAAACTTGCAAAAATAATCGGACAGATTACGCCAGTGTTTTTTTCCACTTAGAAGCTAGAATCAAACTTTCTTGAGGAAATTTTCTGCATGTTATATTATTATTTTAACCTTGACATGTAAGAGCATGTAGGTGTGCAATATATTGCGGTGTTTTTATGCATGATACTCATGCATTTTAACCGATTACGTACATCTGAAAATTTGTATGCAAAATATTACGATGTTTGTGTGCATGAAATTCACGCACTTCAACTTAATACGCACATCTGAAAGTCTGTATATGATATATATCATAGGGCCTGTATTCATGTTATGCGTGCGCTTCAACACTACGTATACATCTGAAAGCTCGCATGTAATATATTACGATGCCTGTATTCATGATACTCGTGCACTTTAACAATACATACATCTGAAAGTTTGTAAGCAATGAAATGCGAGCTCGATGAAACTTCATAAGACCTAACGGTGATGTTCAGCTTGTAAAATTTTTTCCATTTCACCTTCATTCCTGAGTTATACAGAAATTTGAGCCAAAATTTGCAGTGACCAAGAAATTTCTTTCAAACTACTGAACAGATTCGAACAAAACTTTGAATATACATTCCTATCCTTCCAACGGTTATGTTTAGCTTGTGACAATTTTTGGGGTTTTAACTTCCTTTTCAAGTTTTTTCCATTTATCTTCATTCGTGAGGTACATCGCAATTTGGGCCAAAATTTGCAGTGAACAAGAAATGTCTTCTAAACTACTGAATAGATTTTAATGAGACTTTGAATACACAATCCTAACCTATCAGTTAGTGAAAAATTTTTCTATTTTGCTTTCGTTCGCGAGTTATACGGATATACGGAGAAACGACCTGCATTTTTTAGGCCAATTTTTAAATTTGAATTGACAACGAGCCATATACCGGTACGTATAGCCGTATAACTTGCAAACGAAGGAAAAATAAAAAAAATTGTCACAAGCTCAACATAAACGTTGCATGGTAGGAATGTATATTCAAAGTTTCTTCCAAATCAGTTCAGTAGTTCAGAATTAATTTCTTGGTCAGTGCAAATTTCGGCCCCAATTGCTTTATAACTCACGAATGAAGGTGAAATGGAAAATTTTTTTACAAGCTTAACATTACTGTTAGGTCCTGATGAATAAGTTGCATGTGTTTGGATATTAAAAGTTCCATTCAAATCTGTACAGTAGTTAGAAAAAATATAACTCAGTACTCACTGCAATGAGTGAGAGCGCATTTTCTCGTCGA